TATATAGTATAGTTACTTTACGTTACGTATAGGTAAAGTTAACGTTAAGTAAGTAATAATAACTAACTAACTAAAAAAAGTAAAATTAACTTACGTATATATATATATATATATATATATATATATATATGCAAAAAAAATAGAAAATTAACACAAATATCTGCACATATGTGCGTTTCAATGGAAAATATATACATATTTCTAAAATTTTCAGCTTAGGGCCTCTGAGGTTCTGGGCGCCCAAGCGTTGGGTGCCAGGCCAGCCGACTAGCATTTTTTAAAATATTGATATATGCCCAAATAAATTATGAAGAGAACGCGTCAACAACCTATGCTCAAACAGAAAATAATGGTTGGTGTAAATCCATTAAAATTTATGCTTTATGTTTATGTTGTCTCAAGAAGACAGATATATGAAGTTTTATAATTGAATCCACTAGAGAGTAACATGAGGATTCAAGTGACATGGAAGGCAATTGATCTCAGAGCTTTTAGAATGTAACACAGAATCCCGTTCTAAATGGATCCCAGAATGTAGACAAAGTTCTCCTTTGGCATCATAAATATCCAAGGAGAGGACATTAATAGCACATGAAATTTGACCTAGACCAAAACTTACTTCAATCCAGGTGTCTTGCTGAAAATCTACAGAAACACAACTAGAGAAGTGAAATATGAAAATAACCAGTGTTCAAAAAAAGGGGTCGCCCAATGCCTAGGCGATCCAGAAGGCATGGGAGCATCGCCCATGCCTAAGCAGCCAAACTGAGCAACAGTCCCTGGGCGGCTGCCAGGGCCTGCGCCCTTCAAAATTTTTTTAATGTTTTTAATTTTTTTAAATATAAACGGTTCGAAGGAGGGGTTTTAAGGTTCATTTCAAACATAAACCCACAAGAACCCATTTTAGAGATAAAGAAACCTCAAGAAAGCTAAATTTTGTGACTTTCAATGGATCGAAGTGCTTCTCAATGTTACGGAAATAGATCCAAACATCACCCAGGTAGATTTGATTTAGTTTTGAAGTTTTCTAATCCTATTAGAGGTTGTTTTTTATTATTTTAGCACCAGAAAACATCTCAGAGGTGGGAGTTTGGAGTTCGAGCAATCAAAGTAAGTGCAAAAAATTATTGTTTAGATTGCTTGTTTTATTTTAAGATATCTTCTTCAACATCTAGTCGAATTGGAGATCCAGGTTGGAAATATGGATATAACCCGAATCCAAATGATAAAAATTGCATTAGATGCAATTTTTGTTAAAAAGATATGAAAGGGGGAATAAACCGGTTTAAGAAGCATCTTGCCGGTATTAAGGGGGATGTTGCTCTTTCTAAACTTGTTCTTGAAACTATCAGATAGGAGATTAAGCAATATATGAGTTTTGTAAAACAAAAACAGGAACAAAATCATTGTCATTTGAATAGATCTATTTCTCCTACTTCTAGAAGAAGTGATCCGGGTTGGAAGTATGGTATAACCCAAAACCAAACGATAAAAATTGTATAAGGTGTAATTTTTGTGAAAAAGATACCAATGGGGTATTAACTGATTCAAGAAACACCTTGCTAGTATTAAAGGGAATGTTGCTTCTTGTAAAAAGGTTCTTAAAGCTATTCGAGATGAAATTAGACGACTTCTTAATTTAAAAGAACCAGAAAATGATGAAAATGAGCCTTATTTTACGGAAATATCTTCTCCAGATTATTCTATAAGTGGTGATCCGGGTTGGAAGTATGATTATAACCTGAATCCAAATGACAAAAATCGTATTAAATGTAATTATTGTCGAAAGGATACTAATTGGGGCATTTACCGGTTTAAAAAACACCTTGCCGATATTAAGGGGGATGTTGCCCCGTGAAAAATGTTCCTGAGGCTACCAGGGAGGAAATTATACAATATTTGAGTTCAGGGAAGCACAAAAAGATAGAAAATGGTAGAGCAGCCAAAACTCCTAGGGCCTCATCTACACATACTAGTAAGAGGGAGGTAGAAGAAGAGGAGGAAGGGGCAGATTCAGAAAAAACAGTGGAGGATAAACGTTATATTGAAGAGGGAGATCACTCTGGCGATGATGGCCCCGATTCTGATGCATATGATGAAGCTGATCCTATTCCTTCTGATGATGACGACTGAAGACTCTTGGTGTTAAGTGTTGACTGTTGTGTTAAGTGTTGACTATTGTGTCCTAGACTGTATATTTTCAGAATTTCTTTATACTTTTTTTTTCTTATTTTTAGTTTCTACTTTCTAGTTTCTAGTTCTACTATCTAACTTTTATGTGTAAAATCTACAGTGTATCAAACTATCAATGTATGCTTGTATGGTTTTACTGTTTAGCATTGTATGAAAATATGGATTATGGTCTTATGGAGTATCAAAATTCTCTTCTCGACTTCTATCTCTTTTTTTTTTAACTGGGATTATGGTCTTATGGATTATCAAAATTCTTATGGATTAATCATTATTAGTCATCAGTCACTCATGCGTTTTTTTTTTTTTATCAACTGGGCCGCCCAGGTTCTGGTGGCCACAATTACTCTATACCCACAATTGTCTTCTATGTATAGATAATAATACTTAGTAAAGAGTAGATCAAATATTCAACTGTTAAGAGCAGCATCTATGATAACATTAAGCCCATTGCGTCGCATTGTTCCTCGATAAGAGCATATGGTACGAGAAGGTTTCTCAAATATAAACAAAGAAGAGGCAGATCTCCACTATCCTTCAACTATTTCAGAAATTGACAACTACATCTAAGCTGTGACCAAGATTGCCTCAACAATTAATTATCAAGAAGAGAAAAGGTTCCCTCACTTAGATAACCCTTAATTAGAGGTGAAGAACAGTGGAGATAAGCCTTCCTGTACTTTTTTTATGGGAGGGCTTCTCGTATAATACACACTCAAAATTCTAAGACAGAAGAATCCCTCACTATTACAGGGTAGAGTCAGAGAATTTTCACCACTAATCCATGGATCAACGGTATGTTTGGTAAGGAGAATCACACCTGCCAAACTACATAAGATAGAGGTGAAGTAAATCCATGGTCTATCTATTTTTCTACAGAAGGTTTATAACCAAATTCTATCAAAACTATGCCATCTATTTGTCTACAGAAGTTTATACCAAATTCTATCAAAACTATATCATGGACACTAAGGGGCTGTTATAAATAGGAAAACAAAACCAACTTTCGTCTATGCCACTACAAAACAATTTAATTTTTCAATCAATATCCAGGTCATATGTAAATTGAAGTCAGAAGAACCATAAACTGATAGAAGGTATATCTGATCAATAAATCCATGTACAGAAGACATACACTATCACCATCTTTATCTTCAAATACCATACAAGGTGATTTTACTTATCGAATTGAAAGTTCATACAAACTCACAGTAACAGCAATAAAGCTGATGGTGATGATGATGGTCTTACCTGATATCCATTGACATCAATAGCATGCAAACGCGCACCCTCTTGAAGCAAAAGCTCGGCGACCTGAACAGCCCCACGCACCGCACTCCAATGCAGTGCTGTTTGTGCAATATGATCAGCCGCATTCACATCTCCACCATGCTAATTAAGGACCACAAATTCTTCATGAACTTCAAAAACGAAACACAAAACCAAACAAACTAAGGAGAAAAAGACCACCAAAAGATAGGCAGCCATCTCCTCCATGCTAATAACTCCAGTTCTTCAAAACTTACTTAGAATAACACAAGAAACCCAAAAAGATACCGACAAAGAGAGATGTCCACATCTTCCCCACGTTCTTAAAATAACTGCTACTCTTCATTTTGTTTTTCATTTTAGTGGTAAGTTCATTTCTCAAAATTTTCTAAGAGAAAATTGAAACCCAAAACAACCCCAAGTATCCAATTTTTTAGAGAGGAAACAAAACCCAAAACATAAAAATAAGATTGGCACAAAAATAAGACAACCCAAATGAAAAAAAAAATATGTGCATACCCCAATTATGTACTGGGCAGCAGCCGTCCTATTGTTTAAAGCCGCCCATTGAAGAGCGTAATAGCCAAGGGCATCAGGCTCTGTAACTGAACACCCTTCAAACTCAACCAATCTCTTCAATTTCTCCAAATCACCATACGCAGCAGCCGTATAAACATCATTTCTTAAGCTTTCTTCTCCTCCAACCTCTGCAACTGTATCTGAAACTCCCTCTGTAACAATCTCAATCTCTGAAGCCATCTCTGAACATAAGCCTTTATCGATTAAACAAAACTTTTCACCCCACGAAACCCATTGGAGTTCTCCAAAAATGGTTGAATTCAAATAAGTAAATTCAAAATTTGTTAGGTGGATCGAGGTCGGAAAGGCGAGTAGACCTCGGGTTGACTAGGCCTTCTCTGGCCTAATGCATACGAATTATATTATGGCCATTGAGAACAAGAAGAAATTGCAGCAACTCGGACATGGAGGAAAAAGCAAAGAACATGGGAATTTATTTTTTTCGTATGGGATCAGGAAGAAGACTTCTTTCTAGGCACATTAGATGGGTTGATTAGTACCAAGCAGAAAGCAACAAATGAGTGTGAAGGAGAAATGGATAATTAGGGTCACAGGGAGCCCTAATCAACTAGGGAAATGTTTAAATATCCCTTTCTTTTTTGATTAATGATTAGCAGTTTTGTGCACACTTTGGGAGCATATACTGTATATTTACTATCTTGGTCAAAAGAGCTGTTTAGGGGGATCTTTTCAAAATTAAATTTTGGGATCTACATTAGATTTAGGTTGAGATTTGTATAACGTGCTCCACTTATATTATAGGAAAATTATTTCCAAAAAGCGTAAAGCATCCTCGTGAAAGATGGATGGAAGTAAGTATTCTATCCAAAAACAATAGAAATTAACGAATAGATGCAAGTAATTGTTCTATCTAAAAACAATGGAAATTAACGGTCTAAATGTTATCTTACTATAATTATTATTTTTAGCTTTTAAAATTTATTTATTTATTCATATTCATAATTTCTATGTTAAAGATTACATGTTGTTAAAAATGAAGTCCTAAAATCCACCTCAAAAATAGATTTATTATGAGGCCGGCATTTCTACATATTGGCCACATAAAAACCGGTTCCTATATTATATAAGTAAGCCACACTTCTAAATTTTGCCGGAAGATGTAGTTCCGGTGTTGGAAACTTTATGATGGCTTGAAAATCTAAGTTCAACTCTAATGAAATTTAAATTTTCAAAAATGATGAAGATCGAGCGTATCTATTAACACTTAAAAATCTTGAAAAAATATAGTCTAGATAACTTGTTTCAATATGCACTACTTTTAATAGTTGAAATTCTTTTCTTTCTTTATATCTGTACATCTCGAGGTCACGATGATTAATTAGAAAGTTTTCAACTTTAAAACACTCATTCTTAGTAAATTTTTTATGTGCATCTAGCTTCTAGTCTATAAGGCTGCATCTTTATATAAACTTTCTCCTTATATTTATGATTTTCAACCAAATAAAAAATAATTTTGAGTTTGTAAACAATTAGGGGTCGTTTGGATACCTAGTCGTTTGGATACCTAGAAATATATTGTCTGTGAACGTAATACAGTACAGTGTAATACATTACATTCAAATGGATTGTTACTAGTATTTAGATGCAATCTGCTAAATACATTGCTCGTATTTGACACAGTTTAATATGAAATTGTTTACATTGCACCTTAAATTTCCTTGATTGCTCTTATTTGACACGATTTAATATGGAATTCTCTACATTGCACCTTAAATTTCCTCTTACATTGAGATTTAATATGGAATTGTTTACAAAGAGACCATTTATCCTATGTATGCACAATCATTCTTGTCCTTTAAATTTCAAAATAGATTGAATAAATACAAATTTTCAAAAAAAAAATTCAATTCATGGCTCACCTCAAGCCATCCAATGTGATGTCTAATATATGAGAATGATTGTGACCTACATTCATAAAAGATAAATGGTCTCTTTATAGAAATTCCTATTTAATATTGAAATGCATATGTATATCTTTAATCTCTACGATGAATTTGTTAAAACTTCTTTTTTCCACTTTGGAAAAGCTATTATAGCCTCACTAACAAATATGCCGTACCACATAAAATATGGAAAATGTGAGAGTTTTTTATCCAAATATTCCATATATAAATTAAATAAGATAAATACTAACAGGTTGCCCACATGTCATGCCTCAAAGAATAATAACTTACTAGTGTGATTTAATATTGGTTATAAACATTAAGTGAACTATTTTAGTCATAATTTTTACATATTGTTAATTTGTAGTTTAAATAGTAAATGGTGATGCATTTAAAAAAAATATATTATGAAATGGTAAAGTATTTTAAAAATTAGATTTAGATATTGGAAGAGTAATTTATCACTTTTTTATTTTAATCTAAATCCTAATCCCAAAAAGTCATTTTTTAATTATTATAATTTATCACTTTTTTCTCTATCTAAACCCCAATAAAAAAAATCATTTTTTTTTCAAAAAATTTAGTAATCATTATAATTTACCTGGCTCGATTGTAGAGAGAGAGCGAAGGGAGGCCCAAAGAGGGACAGAGAAGAGAGGCTGATTAAAGATGACTAAGCGCAAACATAGAACATTTGGTTTTCATGAACGCAGTGCCTGATGAGAGAGAAAGGTTGAGAAAGCAAAAAAGAGGAGAGAGAAAGGTTGAGGAAGTAAGAAAAATGAGAGAGAGAAAAGTTGATGAAGCAAGGAAGATGAGAGAGAAAGGTCGAGGAAGCAAGGAAGATGAGAGAGAGTGGATTCGAGCAAAATGATAAGAGGAGATAAATTGATACCATGATAAAATGATAAGAGGAGAGAAATTGATACCATGATTTAGAAATGGCCTTAAATCTGGAGAGAGAGAAAGGTTGAGGACACAAAGAAGAGGAGAGAGAATAGATTCGAGCAAAATGATAAGAGGAGATAAATTGATACCATGATAAAATGATAGGAGGAGATAAATTGATACCATGATCTAAAAATGGCCTTAAATCTGGAAAAAATGAGCTTGACAAAGAGGGTGGTAGAATATAGGCAGGAGAGAGGGAAAATGATTTTTTAGAGTCCCTTAATAGATTACCCGCGCATAAAAGATTCACAGCCCTCCGGCGTGTAATAGATTTCACAATATTTGGAGAACTATTTTAATTTCTTTATTAATAAATGTATTAGTAAATGTCATATTTTCTAATAATCTATTTCCTTGTAATATATTTTTAGGTACCCAAACCACACCTTAGATGCAAAATTTGAACAATTTTTATTTGAAAAAGTTTATATAAGGTTGTAACATTACTTATAGAAATAAAGTCATAATAATCTAAATCTTTCATTTTATTTGGACGATGTAGATCTGATACTATCTTAAAAGATGTGTCAATTTTTCTTTATATGATATGTCAAATTTTACATCATCCAGTTAAAATAAATAATGTAGAACGTACAACCTTATTTCTATAAATGAGGTGGTTATCGGCTTATATAAACTAGATCAGCTTTATGTGATATGAAAATATTTCCTTTCTAGCATATCCTGTATTTTTTATCTTTTATCGAGGTTGGCCGCAATATTGAGGGGTTATATCCCCAAAAATTATGGGTCCAAAAAAATACTCCTAGACAGAGCTCTACAAAAGTGGATGAATGATATGCTCCTCTCTTGTGTATATATGGTTTTAATGGTGGTTAACTAAGAGCAGTATTATGGAGTTAGTTTTAAATGATTATGAATGTCAAGTGGATTGGTGGAACTTTTAGGTAGTGGGGAGACCTAATGAGTCTCGTGCCGCCCCCACCATACTAGAGTATGGAAAGGGTGGGTTCCATACTTTGTGAAAGAGGGACCTAGGGCAGTCCTCCCTTCCATATAAAACACACCCTTATAGAGAGAAATCTCTTGGGAGATATCAGGAAAAGAGTTGGAGAGCGGCTAGAAAAAGATGCAAACGCACAAAACAATGAATGCATGAGTTGTGGTCCTTTTTTAAGCACACCCACCATCATTCATATTCATCAATGAAGTTTCACTCAAAAACCATGCACCAAAACAATCTTCATTCAAGTACAACTTCTCTTGAGCTTTGTTTTGGTATAACTTTTGGGTAGTGGAAGACCCAATTTCCGCAAATCTCACTCTTGTATTTGTTGCAACCCCTTACAAGCTGTAAGATAGAAGTGCGAGATTTCATGGGGATTTAAAAACTAGGGTGTCAATGGGATGGGCCTAGGGTAAGCCAGCACTACCCCTAGCCTGATTCTTGTTTGCAAAGGGCCAGCCCAAGCCCGGCATGGCCCAGATCAGGCTAATGAGGCCTTAGCCTAGGCCCGGGCATGGCCCTATCAAGGGCAGGCTAGGCCATATATAATCAAATTAAAAATAACCCAAAAAAAAAAGTAAGGAAAAAATGTTCAGGCAAGGATAGCCCTGTTGTGGCCTTGGCCCATGCTTAGCTCGGCTCTCCCCTTTTGTGGTGTCTCGGCCCTTGGACCACGTTTTCGGGCCCAAGCCCCAAGATTTCGGGGATCGACCTGACTAGACCGATTGCCACATAGCCCATTGCTAGCCCTAAAAATGTCAAAATAGGAAGTTGCCCATTCCATGCTAACGCATGGAAGAGGGAGTTTTGGCAGCCCCTATTCACAATCAAACACGCCTTTACAAAAACATCTTGCCATGGAAATAAGGCATAAAATTGCAGTCTAGGATGTTTCATGAATTCCCAAAGTACCCTCCTCCCAACATGGGGCTAAACATTTATCCGAATTGGGATATTGTCATTCTGAATTAGAATCTGTAGGTACTCGAACAGATTCCCTTTGAACTAAACTTCCTGGCTTTGGTTTAAAGAACGAGGGGACATCCAAGCCAATTCTTCTATGGAATTGCCCTATTTGAACCTAATCTCATGGTCTTGGTTCTATCCGAAGCATTTACGAGTCAGATTATACAAGGGTCAGCAAGCGGCCTGGTGGGCTCGCCTAGCCCTGAAAAGCCCAAGCCACTGCCACAGAATTGCCCCGAGGGCCATGCCTATAACCCTCCCACCCCGGTCAGTCATTGTTTTCCCCTTATGTTTTTGGTTTTTTTGTTTTGAACTTTTTCATTAGATCTTGCACCGAGCTAGGGCTAGGCCAGGCCAGGCCACCTAGCCAAGGGCCTCGGTGAGGGCCCAAGCCAGCCTTGTCTCGCCCCAGGTCAAGCCTGTTGCTAGCCCTACATTGGCTGAATTGGATAATTCCTTTTGAATTTATTTTCATTTTTTATGTATTAATATCTTACCCAAATAATCAACTAATTCATAGTGGAAGCATCATGAGGGCCGATCCAACATTGAATTCTGGGCTTTGAAATGCCACAGCAAACTACAAATGCAAACTTGCCGTGGGGAGTTGCTTGACCCAAAACTAAGTCATCTATGTTCATTTTTAAATTCATTTAAGACAATGATTTGGAGATTAAAAAGTGTTCCAAATCAACTGCCCCTACAAACATGACTTGAGAACCATTTGATGGACAAAATTAGCTACGACTCTAAAACTTCAACATCAATGTTCGT